CAACTTTCACCAAGGCGTCGTGAACATTCTTTAGGAAGTATGGGGGCTGCATTCATCATTCAGTAATGCAAAGATGAGGTTATATTTCTTATTGCAGCATTGCCTTTTTGAAAATTTTCAGACGACGAAATTTTCTGAAAAGTTGTGAAATTATTTCACTTTCTTGCACAGCAAAGGCTGCCATAAAACTAATTTTTTTTCTTTTCAATATCATGTAGCCAAATTTTTATTGAATAAATGGAAATATTTATGCCGGAAATCTATAAACAATAATAAGCTTATTTAAACATGAATTTCCGGGCAGCATCTCATATACACATGAAATCATGTGTTCATTGCCAGTCTTTGTCAATTTTCGTAACCTGAAATAAACTAAAAAAGGGTTATCAATAAACTACACAAAACTCAAAACTCTCATCACGCTTCCTCTGTAATGCTTATATTCTTAATTCCAACAGAAATTTAGCTTCAATCAGCGCTATAGTGTTAAATTTGTGTCTCCTTGTGCGATAAAAATTTTTATTAAATAAACATAAATAAAATCTCAGAAACTTTTCGGTTCATCGGCCGTGATTTGACTGTTTGAATCCCCAAAATAATATTCACCTAGAATACTAAAATACCTAAAAATTCACAGCCTACGAAAAAAATCTTTTTTCCTGACCATGTAAGGCATCCGGCGATCATCGAAGTTCCGGCCGGACGAGCACTCCATTGAGAGTCTCTGTAATGGCTTCTTTAATTCCCTGCTCCTTTATTGTGCCGAGCGAATAATAAGCTCATTGTGCTCATCCAAATTTATCGTTGAAACTCAAAGCCAATCTTTTAATTACGTTGACTATTCACTGCAATACGATCCGCTCTGTGGAACTTTAAAATTGAGAAGATCAAATGAATGAAAAAGGCTTCCAGCAATAGCACTTTATAAACATTTTCACCTGCTTAATCACTCAATGGTTGAGTTACGTATGCATATTGCATTCTGGGATGACGATCCGGCTAATTGAATGGAACGCACGATCTATGGCTTGAACGTTTTTCCGTGGAACTGCACTGAACTTCAATGACCGTGTAATGTTAAATTAAATGCTACTGGTCGCATATCAAATATACGGTCCATGCCGTCTTATTCGTGCCGATGCAAGTTCTGGCGTGTGAAATGCGTATGACGTGNTGGAATCTTTTCAGTGATTCGAATTCGATCAAGTAGGAGAGCATAATTATAGCTTAGAAATTCTTTTTAGATATATCAGTAAGTAAATTAAAAGTTAATATTGTTAAGTTTAAATGATTATTTTTCTTTATTTCTCCGCACGCTTTAATGCTTTACTCGCTTGTAGTTGCTAATCATTGGAGCCCAATTCAAATTGAAATTTAAGTTACTCTGAGCTATTATCAATACATTATTTTTCAGATTTACTTCAGTGTTAAGCCGCTACTAGACTCATTTAAATGTTATATTTGTGAGAGAGATAAAGCAAATCAGCTTTTAACAATCTAATTTATTACTATCTCCTTAATTAATCCCATTCCCTTTCTATGATCAAAGAGTTAACGAAAGTTGTAACTAATTTTTTAAATTTTCTAAAATTTGAAATTAGAGTGGCCAGTTTCTGGCAGCTTACTGTGAAATCTAATTTTCCGATGGCGGAATAATTTATTCATAAATTTGTTATTAATTTAATTTAACAAAGGAATAATTTATGAGCTGCCTGGATACTATAGGCCGCTTGAGCCAGGAAAATTTTTTTAATGGGAATAACTTTGTTAAACTTATAATGGATACGTTTCCAACTAAATTTCTTCTTCATGATTATATTTTCATATTTATATTCATTTTATTTATTTTTGAAGACATTAATTCATATTCAATAAATACTCCGTAAACAACAGGAATGTGTTTTCCGGTCTTGCCTTTTTAATATTGCATTGTTGCGGGAGATCATCAACATATATTAGCTATCGCCGCCTATTTCGGACTTGATGGTGAGGAAACTTAAAAAAATTAGGTAAAGTAAAAAAGTAAATTCTAAAACTGCTTCTTAAATTTTTATTACACAAGTTCCCACTTTCAAGCGGTTATAAAACCCAGTGAAACTAAAATAACCCAAATATATAACAACCCATATACCCTATCTACTCTACAATGCACATATATAGTAAGAACCTTCCCAAAACTGCAAGGAACCACCCTGACAAGGATTCGGGGCCCCACACATCCAAATACAAACAGCCTAATAAGTAATTAAAAAAACTCAACGAAAAACTCAACTCTCTGATGGATGCTGAAACTCAGATCACTTGTATGCCTCCTCGGAATTTCCAAAACTCGCGGCTTATGGGCACCGGGTTCAACAATCCAGGGTTTCATATTCTGCCGCCGATGATTGGTGGCAAATCAATGACAAGCAGATCGCTTCATTGGCGTCTGAACTCTCCAAAAGAAGATGTAGCTCATTTAGGTAGGGTTCTTAAAAAGGCCCGTTTACATTAGGGGCAACGACATGGGCGGTGAGGCGCTTGCTGCAGCGCCTCACCGCCCACTACTGTTCACACTTAATTTTGTATGTGGTACCTCGAGACCGCGCGCTTCGAATATTAGTTGCCAGTTAATAAGACGTAGTGGAGATGGATATAACCCTAATTTGAGCTCTGGGCCATTGTTCTCGGGTGTTCTGCTGTTAAGAAAAGATGTAGGCGTCGCCGTATTTGGGTGGAAAATTGGCGGCAAAGAAGAGAGTGTGTCGTGACAATAAGTGTGTCGTTGTTGCCATAGTGAAGGACCAGCGTACACAGACAACCTCGCTAGACCACGGACAGCCGTACACTGAGTGCGGCGCTTGTGTTGCACGAGGCAGGGCGACTGTGAATCGCTAGCTCGTCAATCGCTTCGTTGCCCACAAGAAGCGCACGTAGAGGGGCGGTGAGGCGCTTGATGCCCGTGAACGGGCCTTTAGGCTACTCCACAGGTGCTGCCCGTCACCAAAACGTATAAAGCGCCGCTGGTTTTGATTGTTATCTTCCCCGCTGTGTGTCAACAATTGCTTCACCAGAAGATAGATACCAAGTTTAGTACCCACAACACCTGTAATAATTCAATACACAAAATGAGCAAAACTCACTAAGACAACCTAAACACGATTTAAGAATAGGTTTAGGCATTTTCGGTTAACCAATTCGAACACGACTGTTTCACACGAACACTAGGCATCCGAAACCATAGGCAGCGTAAAGGGAGACTCTCAGTCCATAGCCTTACCCGCCACTCACAACCGGAAAGGGTCGCCGGCCGAAGACCACCACTGCCCTGGATGTAATGGACCATCATGATTCCGGCCTTCATTCAAAATTTTGGAACAGAACTATGCTATCTGAAACCTAACCTCAGATGCGGTGAATGTAAAATTAGGTAATTTAACGATGCCTGGAAGTCAGATTCGATCCGCGGCCTGGTGGTGCACGGCAGGTGGTGGTCAAGGCCGGAAGAGGACAAAGCAGAGTGGTGCACGGCTGATTGGTGGATATCCGGAGAGATCCAAGGCGTTCGATTCAGGGCTTATTGGTGCACAAAATTGGTGGTGCACGGCTGCGCTCCCAACCGGAAACACCAACTCTGACGACGACAGAACGGGACAACCTTTCTGCTACGCGGTCCGGTTACAAAAGAAAAACCCGTACTAAACCCGACCCAGCCCGCAACTAATAATCAGCCGATCACTGGTTTACTCAAATGCCTGCGGAACTGCGCAGCTACAGCATATCACTTTTATATTGGGTGGATGGAAACTCTATAATATATATGAATCGATTATAACGTCTTATAACGGTTCTGACAATTGAAGTCTCATTTTATAAAGAAATTCGTACTTATTTTACGGTCTATCAGAACTGCTTTATACATCGATATACTGCGTTTCATTGTCAATTCCAAGCGAATAAATATTGGTTACAAGCAGTCAATTATTATCCTCTTACAAGCGCAATATTTGAAAGCCAATGGTGCATTTCAAAGCCATGCTTGCTGAAATCTTGCTCAGCTTTGAATGTATTTGCTCTGACTGAGAGTAAAGTGACGTAGGCAGGTAATACTTTTCCACTAGTTAATTTTTTTCCAGTTTTTGTTTTTACTTATTGATACAGTCCCCCATTATAGTTGCGAATATTATGAAAATCGTTCTACATTATTTTTTAAATCGACTCCGGCGGCATTCAATTATAAATTATATGCATATTATGCATTGTCGGGTTACACTAATTCTCATTTTTCCTTTCTATAGAGTGCGGGCTTCGTACTATTTACACTTACACAATATATTCGTGGTATTTATACTTCCAATAACCATAAATGTATGTAATATATTGATGCAATGGCCATGACTACTAATTTCATTATAATTCATGTTTTTTGAAAAATTGTCTGTAATTTCATTTATGAAAACTTCCAGCATAACAATCAAACTGTTAAAATATGTTAGGTGATGTCATGGTAATCGACGTCTGCAGAGTGAATTTGACACCTTTCAATATTGCATTCTATGGGCACTTCATGTTAAATTTGGGCACTAAATACCGTAGACTTGGGGCTATTTAGTGTTCCCTCGTAATTTTAGCCATATTAAATTTTAAACTAAATGTTGAGTTATAATACGGAAGTGAGCATCGAAAAGTATCTCTGTCGTGATTCACTCACGTGCGACATCAAGACTCGCTCATTTCTTTGAGTGCATGATCGGCGTTCGTGACTCGTTTGGGACCAGTTTCGTCGTCGTCTAGTACAGAATCACTTAACAGTTGTTAGTTTATGCGTTAATCTAACGGCATTTAAAAAGTAGTAGCATATGTAAAGTTTATTTCATCTCTTATCATATACATGTATTTAATTGAGTATTAAAATACTGACCAGGATTATATATTGTGGTAGTATTTGGCATCCATCATCGCCCCAACTGAAGCTCGTCGTTGCATTTCATCGATCATCACCGCATTGTTGGCTAGAAACGGTCAAGGAGAAGGAGTGTGTAGAATCTGCGGAAACAGTTTCTAAAGCCTCTGGTAAGAGTGAAACTCATTATTTCGTATATCTGTGATTATTTTCGCAAGTCTATCAAAATTTGTCCACACTGCACAGTACCTACCATTACTAACACTGATAGACAATTCAACTAGACATAGAATATAGATAGATAGAACATCAACTTTCGACAATTATAATTTATTACTTATATCAGATGCCGATGTCTACCTGTGATTTTATTACTGTACGGTCATAAAGAATAATTCCCGTAACTTCCTTCTCTACGTTCCAGTGAACCATTAAATCTCCGATGGACAATCTTGTACGTTTTCACTGAGAAGTTGAATATGTTTCAAACAGTTGACGAAGACCAAATGATTTCTACGGCGTCGAAAATCAACGCTGAAAAGCAGCAGTAAAGTAGCAGCTACAGTACTGCTGCACGAAAGACAAAAAATACTGCATTGTAAAGTTAATCGTAGTTATTGATGATAATTTAACTCTTCTGAGCCAGTTTTTGTATAATTCACATGATAGTTTCCTTATGGGCTGACGAAATTGTGACAAGTTTTTATTCCACAAAATTATACCCTCAATGCTGTTCAGAAACTATTTACATGAATGGTGTCATGAAATTTCATCAAATCCCAAATATTTGTACAAAACTGCACTCAAAAATATTGAAAACTCACTATCTCTTTATTAGAATATAAAACTATTAATTAGGAATATTTCATCACTTAAACCTGTAAATTCGTCCAAACTGAGAAATGTAGAGCGCTCATGAACTCATGCATTGTGATGGCAAATATATCTTGTGAATTTTCCGGGCTCAGTGAAATCCATTCATGCCCTTGTTTTTACTTCAAATTTTCATTAGCATTTCAGAAGTGCTTTTGAAGAATTTCTAGGAAATTTCTGACTTTCAGACGATGGCAGACGTCCAGACACCAGCGATAGGCATCGACCTGGGCACCACCAACTCGTGCGTGGCTGTCGTACGCAATGGACGCGTGGAGGTCATTGCCAACGACATGGGCCTCCGCATCACCCCATCATGCGTTGCATTTACGGATGAAGAGCGTCTCATCGGCGTTGCTGCAAAAGCACAGGCGGTGCACAACGCTACCAACACAATATTTGATGCCAAACGTCTCATGGGCCGTAAATATGATGACGGAATTGTCCAAAAATGTATAGAACTTTGGCCGTTCAATGTTGTGGAGTCTTCTTCTGGAGATCCAAGATTTCGCGTTGAATACAAGAATGAGACGAAAGATTTGTCACCCGAAGAGATCTCAGCAATGATTCTAGGAAAAATGAAAACCGTTGCCGAGACATACATCGGTTCTCCCGTCAAAGATGCCGTAGTTACAGTGCCTGCCTACTTCAACGACTCCCAGCGCCAGGCGACCATGGATGCGGGTAAGATTGCTGGTTTGAACATCGTGTCTCTTCTCAACGAGCCCACAGCTGCCGCCATCGCTTGCGGTTTCAATCAAAAGAAAAACACTAAGCAAAACGTTATGGTGTTTAATTTTGGTGACAGTACTTCCGACATAACTATACTCAGAATTGCGGGAAATGATTTTGAAGTCATAGCTAATAGTGATGAAATCTATCTTGGCGGCCGTGACATCGATGAACGTTTGGTGGAACATTTCATTGAAGAAATCAAGGTAAAATATAATAAGGATATTAAAGACAATTCAAAGGCCCTGAGTAAACTCAGGACTGCATGTGAACGTGCCAAGAGAAGTCTTTCTTCATCAAAGAAGGAACCCATTCTTGTAGATTCTCTTTTCGATGGCAATGACTTCAAGTCATCCCTCAATCGAGATTGTCTGATGAAACTGTGTTCTGACCTCTACAAGAAAATCATGGAGCCCGTTGATGCAGTTCTGAAGTCGGCGAAAATGACTGTTGATGACATCGACGAGATTGTTCTAACTGGAGGCTCTACCAGATTTCCTATGCAGGAGCTTCTTAAGAAGAAGTTTAATATGAGCAAGCTCAATCAATCGGTCAATCCCAATGAAACTGTCGCTCACGGAGCTGCTATTCACGCAGCTTCTAAATCAGGTGGCAAGACAATTGAGAACATAAAGTTCGTAGATGTCACTCCATTGACACTTGGGATAAATGTTCTTGGAAACTTGATGAGCCGAATTATTCCACGCAACTCCAAACTTCCTGCGATTAAGAAGAAGAAGTTCGTCACTACTGTTGATTATCAGACAGGTGTGGATATCAAAGTGTACGAAGGAGAACGACTCAGTAGTGACGAGAACAACTTGCTGGGTGAATTCTCTTTGGAAAATATTCAACCTGCTAAAAAAGGTATCTCCATAATAGAGGTAACTTTCGTTGTCGACAATAATGGAATTTTGACAGTGACAACTGAGGACGCAGCCACTGGCAGCAACGAAGAGATCGTCATCCGCTGCAACAAAGGCCGACTGCCGAAGCAAGAAGTCGAGCGAATGGTCACCGAAGCAAAAGAATTCCAGAAAGATGAAGAAAAGAGGGAGAAGCTTGCAGGTGCGCTACAGGAAGTTAAGGCTCTCATTGTTAAAGTAAAAGACTTGATTAGCGAGCTGATGAACAACGATCTTGAAAACTTGGAGTTGGACAATTTCTCGAGCGTCTGCACGGATACTGAGTAGTGGCTTGACGAGAACGAACAGGAAGCGGAAGAAGAGTACCGTTCCCATTACAATTCTCTTATTGAAGTCAAGGAGCGGATGCTTAGTAATTAAGTTTTTTCGATGTTACGTATTTTTGGGGCGAATGCTGAGGGTCAGCATTCCTCAACTTCACATTTTAGTTCATAACCTCTCCGTGGGTAAGAACGCAAAAGTATATATAAATAATATATATGCTATGAAAACATAATATATATAAAACATAAAAAAAACATGAACATAAAAACATGAAACTCAAGAATTTATTAATGAAAATAATCCATGCAAAAAGTCGGGCCCATTACAAGAAACAAATGTTATTTGCAAATATTCCTGCCACGAAGAAGGTTGTAGACTTCTCCAGAACTTTTCTGCCACCTCCAGACCGGAGGACCGAAGAACCACATGAGAATGGCTCATAATGAGACGCTCACTCGCACGATATTGGAGACCCACACCAGAATTGTCATGAGATGCCCAGACGCCACAAGACTGGCGATAGCTGGGGCTCTCATCATCAAGCATGAGTCTACAGCTATTAATTTACAAACTACCGGATTTGTCAGGACGTTGAAACTTTTCTCGTAATTCCAGTTTTGATTTCAATCTGTATACATAATACCCTATGTTTGTACTAATGTCATTTCAAAATTTCAAATTCAAGTGCTGTAAAACTCTTCCCCCTACTTGATAATGAATGTAGTTGCTATTCGAAACGTCGTAAATTATAATAAAATGTCCTTTGGAAACCTGAGTTTTCAATTCCTATCAAAAGCCTAATCCGGCGAATTGAGAAAACAATAAGAAAATTGTCAATAAAATATACTCTCTGGTCTTCAATGAAACCTGCTTTAAAGAACAACTTCTGCCAAACTACACCAATGTTCGAACCCATGACCCCAAATAAAATGTCCCTTGGAAACCTGATATTTGAGTTTTCAATTCCTATCAAAAGCCTAATTCGCCGAATAGAGAAAAACAAAACCGTTAGGTCCTAATGAATACGTGTTCCAAGTTTTATCGAGCTGCGTTCATTAGTTTGTGAGATATTCCTTTGTCACTGAATTTGGAGATCGGCCGTGAGACCGGCCACGAGTCCGGCCGTAAATTTGTCCGAGCCGTCTTGAATTTCTAGTGCTGAAACAGTTAAAACTGTAAAAAAATATTCTGGTTTACTAAATGGGGTTCTATTGGTTATCTGTGGAATACACACATGTGTTTAACCTTTCACTTTAAAAACTGCAGCATAGTAAATATCAAGAAAGAGGCGTTTGTTTTTATACGTGTCTGTCGGGGGGGGACGCCAAAGATTCACTGGGGAGCCAAAGGGGGCGCCAGCCTGAAAAAGTTTGGGAACCACTGCTGTAGGGTTAGTCCTAACCTTAAACTAACCCTTTTTACTACCATAACCTAACGAGGTTGGTGTTAAAAAGCATGTCGCACAATTGTGTATAAACTAATCACGGAGAATGTAGTGCTTTAGTGCGACGCGATTTTGTCGCCCAATTACAACAACGTCGCGCTATTGACTGACTTATGCACATATATAAATAGCCGCCTATGTAGTCAATTTTTTAAATCTATGGCGCCATATATTTGAAGCCAACGCTTAAGCATGATAAGTAAGCATGGTCATGTTGCATCCAGCATAACCTAATCACGTTGCATCATCCATCCTGGACCATCCACCCAAAACAAACCTGAGCGGACCTGACCAAACCCCATTGACTGCCGGTAGTTAAAGAGGCGAGGCAAGTGAGCAGTAGAGGTACCGGTAGTCATTAGCTACAAAAAAAGTTGTGTGTCATTGCAGCTAGCAGCGTGGTAAGGCTAGAAGAGATTAGGCTCAGAAGGTGAGGCCGAATGCAGTACTGCTTGCTATGAGCTAGTATGCTATAAGTAATGGCTGAAGAACTGCGGCGTTTATATTTTCAATCCGTGTTTCACTGTGATGGATTATGATTACGGTGTACTAGCGTAGTTTACGGCTTCAAGCGTGGATACTGAGTGTAGTTATTGCATGCTGACGCTTGGCGCTGACTAATGGGCAAATTTCCGATTTAAATTTGTGGCTTACGGATGCGACCCACGAAATTTTTCATAGCTCTTACATTTGCGTGATAAGAAAAACTTTCACAGTCGTGGAATTTTTGTTATATTAGTGCGATACATCAAGCTCAAACTTCATCCTGATGAAAATCTGCCAGAAAGTTTATAGACTATGACCAATGACCTCCGATGTTTGTTACTTCGCGCTGTAACAGAAAGCAGCGTTTTTTTATTTTTTTAACGGGACCCAGAATGAAAGACTTTTGGTTTTATATGTACGTGACGTCGTTAATCAGAAATTATTTCATAAGTTGTACGTAGTAAATTATTTAATGATGGCCCGCTAATTATTTTGCAGTCGAGGAAAGACCCATGTCTTAATGTCTGTTAAACGGACAGGCCACTTGAGACCCCACGGTCCTTGTGGCTGAGGAATGATTCTTAATTATTTTGACCTTCTGCCTTGCAGGTGATGTTTATTTTCGACTTCAGGCTCTACGACAACCGAACTTAAAAGCTAATCGAAGCAATTGAAATGGAACAGTTTTTCGTAACTCACTGGAAACATTTTGTAGAAATAATAGTACTTTAGCTGCGCAACTCAGGCTTCATTTGTTTGCCCAGGGTTCCGTTGGTAACGGGCGAGGCGGGCTGCCTTTGCATTGGGCATTTTTTTACTGATCATTGTTTGAAGCGACCATTGAATCGCGTGCCTTATTTTTTTAATTGGTTATTTGCACCTGGCCCAGAATATCACAAGCTGCTATGAGTGCTATCCATCTCGTTGCACACTAGTTGGTGTTGCGTGAATTTCTGCTGAATTATGTCTTGGCCTCATTTTTGAGTGGCGGGTAAGGAAGTTGTATACTCGTATGACTTAGTTTCTATGGTTGCCTCCTGTTTACCCCCTATGGATAGGGTTTCAATTTTGTCAGTTCGTATGCCTTTCCTCTTGTTGGAATAAATTTCATAAATGTCGTCATCCGTCATTCTGATGGTGTTTCTTCAGTGACGGTTCTTGGTACTTGTTGGGCGTTAAACCCATTCTTTGTGTTCGATTATTGCAGGTGGACGTGGGCATCTGATTCATTTATCTCTTTATGGTTCGCATGGAATCTAATAATCGGCGAGCTGTCGCTGAATCGAAGGACTTCAGTGGGGTAAAAAACTCTAGTGTGCCAAGAAGATGCTCCATACTCATCGGTGACGGAGGGACTTCGGGTTTGAGAGGAGATAATCATCTCATTTTTGGAGGATTTGAAAACTCCCGAATGTCGTATATCGTCGCCTAGGAGCTGATGAGCCTCTACGGTCTACATGAATCTGTGTCAATTGAAAGTGGGCACTTAATCTGAAGACAGCCGTCCTAGTTCGAACCGAGTTCTGACTTTTCGTCAGCGGGAAGCGGTGTCAAAACTTGCAGCTTATAAGAAATCCCAAATTTTGTATCGGTCTCGTGCTATAGTTTTTTAATTCGGTTCAACTTCATTTATAGTCAGCATTGTATTGGCATAACGTTAGATTTCTATGATCAGGTTCTTAGGGTTTTCAAATAAAACTCCATGGCCTGGCCGTCACCACTTTGACTTGGTCTCGCTCTCTCACTATCGCGTTGGCGATAGCTGTATATGTTGAAAGCTCTCCAGCAACAGTACATGTTCCTCATTACTTTCATAATTGATTCGTCTACCTCAAGTTTCGTCAATTAGAGCGTCTGTTAATTCAAGCTGACGCTAATATTTCAACTAATTGTGAATATTTTCGACTTTAATTCGCAGGAATTTTTAATGGAATGAAGATTTATATGATTTAGATCAGGGGTTCCCAAAGTGTGCGATATCGCCTCGCTATCGGCGGTGGAAATATCTGGAGGAGCGGTGAGGAAGAAAGGGGCAGTAGGGGGCGGCAGTCCGCGAAGCCGAAGTTGGACGTTCGTACGTTTGTTTGACGAATTGTACACAACACATTCAGAACATGACTCATACTCGAAATAATTTTCACGAGCTAAAAATCGCCGTTTGGTAGATAGCTATGTATATTCAAAATTTCGTTCGAATCTGTTCAGTAGTTTGGAAGAAATTCTTTGATCACTGCGAAATTCGGCCCGTGTCACCATTTATAACTCCCGAATGAAGGTTAAATTAAAATTTTTCACGAGCTAAACATCACCGTTAGGTCCTAATGTATACGTGTTCCGAGCTTTATCGAGCTGCGTTCATTAGTTTGGGAGATATTACTTGGTCACTGAATTTGGAGATTGGCCGTGAGACCGGCTGCGAGACCGGCCACGAGTCCGGCCGTAAATTTGTCCGAGCCGTCTTGAATTTATAGTGCTAAAACAGTTAAAACTGTAGAAAATATATTGGTTTACTAAATGGGGTTCTATTTGTGAAATATACATTTGTGTTTAACTCTCTCTTTTAAACTGCAACTGTTTTCTCTCTTTTAAACTGCAACTCTCTATTAAACTGTTCTCTTTTAAAACTGCAGCGTACTAAATATCAAGAAAGAGGCGTTTGTTTTCGCTAGAAATTCACTGGGGAGCCAAAGTGGGTGCCAGCCTGAAAAAGTTCGGGAACCACTGATTTAGATGGTCAGTGCTCTTCTCAAGATGAAGGCGACAATTTTTTGTGTTACAATAAGTTGGAATGTTAGTGACTTATTCTTCTATAATGTAAGTAGAACAGTCCCCGTGTGTAAATTTTGCAAGTAATTTTTTTAGTTACTGTGTTACCTGATACCGAGATCGACAGCAACGATGAATATGCTTCAAATAGTGATTTTCTGATTTTGTCCATGATGTTAAAGTTAAATGTATACTGTCTCATTCTAGTATTAAGGATATACAAAATAATGGTTTTGCATTAAGATGCTTGAAAGAAAGGATGACAAATAATGTACATGTAAGCGAGTGGAAGAGAACGTGCATAAATCAATTTAAAGGACATAAATCTTCGTTAAAAATTGTTTCAGGGATAATAGTTAAATCTGTACAAAAAATTTTTGTGCCAGTAATGCCATTTATGTTAATGGGCGATATTGTTTACAAGGTGCATACGCAGGTAGCGCATGCAGGTAGCGGGAAAATCCTGAAAGCCGTGTGTAACCGGAAACACCGCCGCGAAGTCAAAATATTTACGG